TGTTATGCACCTTATGGTCTATCCTTAAGCTCCTTTCATGGGTCTCTTCAATCTTGGGAACATTAAATAGTCGCAGGGGGCAAATCTGGTGAATACGGTGGCTGATGCATGATTACGGTATTGTTGTTTTTGGCCGAAAAATTACGAACAAGCAGTGACTAGTGAAACAGGTGAAACGTTTTCTTTATATTGTTTCCCACAAGCGGCGCACAACTTCAAGATAATACTATTTATTGGCTATACGACCATGTGACAAGAACTCATGATGCACTACGAAAAAAATCGAAGGAAATAGTGAGCAAAACCTTGAAATTTGATCGAACTTGGCGTGATTTTGTATCTTGGCTCCCGTTTGGACTTTGGTTTCGACGTCATAATCATATACCCATGATTCGTCCCCATTTATGACCCTTTCAAGCAAATTTGGATCGCTGTTGACGCCATTCAACAATTCCTGAACGATGCTCATACGGCGGTTTTTTTGATCAAAATTCAGCAATTTTGGAACGAACTTCACTGCCACACCTTCTTGTTCAAAATTTCCGAAAAAATTCCATGTCATGAGCCAAACGATATGCCGACATCCTCAGATGTTTATTATATTTATAAATGAATGAGTTTCATGTGGTGTTGACTTCAGTGGTTCACTGTAAATACTAGTTGCATAATAGATCAAATAAAACGCAGTATGAACACATTTTTTATTGAAGTAAATGATATAGAATATATTACTCAAATGCGGATTCAGCCTCTCAAAAACCCCATGGAACGAAGTCATTTTGGAAGAGCCCTAAAACTAAACCTAAAACTAAAGAAAGAAAAAAGGTTGGAAATTGTTTTTTTATAATAAAAGTGATTATATAACTCCTAAACCTGTTTTTTTCTCAGTAAAACTAATCACCGCTTCTTACCATTGGCATGAATGAAAATCAGATCACACGTAAAAGTTTTTTCAGTGGCGTACGTGATACATTTTTTATTAATAGTATGAAAAAAGTTTTCGGGCTTCTCCAAAATTACTTTTTATGTAGGATGTTTTGAGGATGCCGAATTCGAATTTGTTTACAATTTATATTGATTCCTATTCAGTAAGTGGGCATCAGTTATCGTAAGGAGATTCGAAAAAAGTTTCACATAAATGCAAATCGACTTCCATTTTTAGTTGAAATTTTCAGAGTTTAGGGCAGGTTTAGATAAAGAGACTCGAGTATGTGTCCACATAGCTTTCTTTTCCTGATGCTACGTTTTGATAACATAACTTTCAGTAACATCAAAATATGAGTATTATCACGTCACATAATCACTTCAAATTTCAACATTCTTAATGCAACGGTGAATGGGCTTATTCAGGCTAATTTAGTTTTTTATTGAAAAATATATATTATAAAAGTAAATCATCTCCCAAGTATCCCACAAAATTTTTTGGTTTATATGTCAATTAACAACCGAGCAAGAGCAATTGAAAATATGAGATCGCCCGCGGTACATCTTGACGTCACACCAGGCAACGAGCTTCGAGCAGAGGCAACCGGGCCTTTGGTGGAGTTTATGAATCGCTGCCATCGTCGGATTTGATTTCATTTGCTGGTTTGAAAAAACCACGTGTTACGTATTTTTGAATTTTTTTGTTTTTGAAACAATTTAAAAGTTAAGCACCATTATGTTTTCATTAGAAGACAGCTTTAATAGAGCTGATTCGAATAATTTACCTGAAGTCTATATTTTCATGGTGATGGAATATTTTAACAACAGTAGGAACTACACAAGCGCTGTAGCTTTTGATCTTCGAAAAACCTGTTTATCAACTTGAATTCCAACATAAAAAATATTTTCCTGTGTACCTGCTTCAAGACATTCTTTGATTTTCAGCGATATTTTCGTTACAAAATTTGTTTTTCCTTTTTTTGAACGAACGGTGGAGCTTTAGATGTATGGGTCTATCAATCTGCCAATCAAATAAATGCGGAATTACGCCTGGTTTCAATATAATTTTTCCCACTTTCATAGTTTTGATATACCTACATGTAATTTTCTAAGTCATTTTCAACCTAAAATTCAAAGTAGTGCTCAGAGTAAACTATAATTTTTTTATTAATCATTTTCATTCATACTTATATTGAAATGATCTTCGCAACAAAAATGTCTCCCTTTGGCAGATACAAAGTCGGCCCTCCGCATAACGCGCTGCCATAACTTTCGTGATTTTAAATTACTTGGCAGTGAAATAAAAATTTTGTGTGGTGCAGTTACCGAAGAATTCTTACATTTAGGAAGAATGCAACACTTGTAACGTCCTTTTTTATCATTATTCATACTCACGCAGTTGACACACTGCAGTAAAAAACTTGATTTCTACGGCTTTAGCACACTTATTTTGCTTATCCGCCAGCACTCCCTTGTCGCCGAGTCGACTGATGTGACGTCGAGCTTGACTATGCCACGTTTCGATGAACGCCACTTTCAACTATTAATTTGAGGGGGAAGATAAAGAGCGAAAATTCAAATTTTTTGCAGATGTACTATTTGAAACATAAACTTTCGGTGGTTGTTGCACGCCACTGTTGCAGGACCCTGTATGAACAGCTAACCCTTGTCTTTAGGTTCAGTATCAATTTGCTTCTCCTGAAGATGCTAACCTTGTTAGCGAAACGCGCGTCGAGTGCAAAAATATCAGTTTGGTGTTAGGGTAATTGATCTCTAGAAAAAGTGTTCAACTTTTACACCAAAGGTTCCAATCTCATCGTTTAAACCGATTTTTGTGAAAATCGTAGTGTTTTTGGGTACTTTCATCAATATGGCTTTCTGGATACCTTTTGAAACAAATGATAACATTACGTGTGAGGAATCTGTGTCAATCGACAGGGATCCGGAATTTGAAAATAAGGACTTACATATTCAAGTTCAGTGAGTAATTTCAAATATCCATGAATGCTTGAAGAAGAAAAAATGTCACACTTCACAGAATGCTATTGTGAATAGATTATGCGAGTTAACGAAACTATCTCGTTCGACAGTTCTTCGAGTCATTAAATTAGGGGATGTCATTGACCATGCAATGAAACGAAAACGAAGGAATAAAAAATTCGCAAACGTTGATGGTGCTACAAAAGATGTGACTCGGCTAACAATTTATGGTATATACCAAAAAAAATGAAGTACCAACTTTGGAAATGATTTGGTATAAATTACTCGACTATCCCGATTGCAATTACAAATCTTCAGAAACTCTACGAGGTGTCTTATTGTCTTGTGGTTTCAAATATAAAAAATTGAACAATCGGATGGTCATAATGGAATCGACACGCATTGTTCAACTCCGACAAGAATATTTGAGACGAATGAAAAGCTACCCAGAATCCAGCAGACATATAATCTACCTCGACGAAACTTGGTTTGACACCCATGATGTTGTCAAATATGGCTGGGTAGACAAAACCAAATATTCCTCCAAAGTCGGTTATTGTTATGGATAACGCTTCGTATCATTCTCGGTTATTGACTACAATAACAAACAATAACACAAAAAATGCAGATATTGTTGATTTCATGCGAAATCATGACATGGAAATACCCGAAAAGATTCCAACGGAAAAGGTATTACTGGCGACCATAAAACAATCTAATTTCAAAAAAGAGTATATTATTGATTCGATGTGTGAAACACGTGGTCATATTCTCTTACGTTTGCCTCTATACTATTGTGTGTTCAATCCAATTGAAATGGTTTGGACCACAATGAAAGAAAGCTTGCGGAAATGTAATCAGTCACCGACTTTGAATGCTGTAGTGCTTGACAATATAACGCGAGTGGTGAATTAAGTAGGTAATAGTGATAGGTGGATAGAACTGTATGGCCCACGTTATAAAAGAAGAGAACAAATATTATGAGCAAAGTTCCATAAATCCGATCGTTATTCAACCCGATGATGATTCCACCTCATCCGAATATAGCAAAGAAGAATTTTGATTTTTCTAGCAACTTTGTTGATCTCTATTATTTTGTAAATATATGTTTGACGAGAATTCGGTGTGATTATCTGTGTTTTCATTGTATTTTAGAGTTTCGACTCAGAAATCAACTACCTAAAATTTCGAAATTTTTCATAATTACCCATGGTGGAAAAATTCAGTTGAGATAACTTTTTCATGGGGTGATCAATTACTATGATTGTAAGAATAAGTAACTGAAAAACTACCACTGAAAAATAATATGCCGACGCCTATGTTGAGGCGGGAATCCCTTCTCTGTGCTGTTCCAATTGGTATTGGAAATACTATACATTCGATTAGCGATTTTTTATGTTGGTACATCGTCTCTTCACAGTTTCAGCTGTTTAGCATGCTTGGTTTGTTAGTGATAGGCATAAAAGTTAGACGTGTTTTGGCGCGTGTTCGGCGACTTAATTTCATTTTATACACAAAATTTGATGCAAATTCTTTGATCCCTTTATTTCGATGCCAGAAAATCGACGAACACGTAAAACACTTACAAACTAAATACTCCAAACAGCTGAAACTATGAACACGAGAGTACCAACATAAAAAAAACTTTCGTAGATAAACAATTTAGTTTTATGCCAACTTTTCGGATTTTATTAAATCCATAATCAAGGATCAATGGATGGATTTGATAAAGTCCAAAACGTCGGCATAAAACTAAATTGTTTATCTACGAACATTTTTGATCCCTTTCCCATTCAATAGAAAAAACCGCATTTGAAAATATTTTGGATCACCAAACCAGGCAAAAATAAAAAAACATCGCTAATCGAATGTACGCCCGCGAAATTTGAACTTTATTTTTGAACAGACCCCGTATTTCGTCTGGGGCTCCATGGATGTACAAAAAATATATTTCTTCAATTTCTCTAGATTTTCCATTCATTAGATTAGGTGTACATTTTCAATCTCCCCTACAGATACACAGCAGATTATTTTTCCTCGATTTGTTCGACACCCAATTCGTAATGTTTCAAGATTTTCATCTTTTGAATTCCCAGGTGTAAGCTCATCTGGAAAAAGCCCGCAGAAAGCATCACAAAAGTCGAGGAAGTAACCAATAACAATATCCCTGAAATATACAAATCAGCAGATGATATCTTATCTATGACAGAAAGTTTAGCATACCAAAACTCTAAAAATTATAAATCCCTCGATAATTCTTTGAACGACGAAGAAATGCTCAGCATAGACGAAAGAAAAAAAATGTTGCTCAAGCAAAACTACGAATTGGAACGACTGGAGAGAGAAAAACTGAGATCTCTGAAGAAAAAAAGCGTGATGGTGTACGATTCAAAAAATATAAATAAGGTTGCGGAAGCTGTCAAGGTTGAAACGTGTTTTTCTCCTATATGGGAAAAAATAAAGAAATATAATAGCGGTGAGTCTATTACTATACATTTTTGTTGAGAAGGAAAAATTGCTTACTTTTATGGCACATTGAATTCCTTTTCTCTCTTCATCTCTTTCTTTCTCACCTCTCTTGTCTGTCTGCTTTTTATCCTGCTATCATATTCATATGAATCACAGAATGAATGAAATAAGCAAAACTTGATGTGAAAGCTGACAGTTTCCGTCAATGTAGAGAAATAATTGAAACTACTTTTATGATTGCTGCTGGATGTGTGGTCAAAAATATCATCTAACCGCTAAAGACATATCTATCATCATTTCCTCGAAATGAAACATCGAGTATTTTGACCTGAATAATGGATTGGCGCTAGGAATTCTCAACATACGAAAGGCTCATTTTTTTTATCAACAACTGAATGAAAATACTCATACAGGTCGGAGTGGCAAAAAAGGAACATTGAAAATATTCAAAGGATGTAACAAATTAAATTCTCAACTGCATCACTCTCAGAGTTCAGTATAGTCGTGAAATGTTTGTGAGTAAAACTTCCATTGGTTGCTTTCTACTTTTTCCTCCATTTTCCTAGGTGAAATTAACTTTGTTTGTGACAGTTCTAAAATAGTGGGTCAGTCATTATTATCAAATACACTATTTTTCAGTACTATAATCAGAGCCGGATTTGAAGTCTGGAGGCCCTGGGACAACAAAGAAGTGAATTTTTTTCATAAAAGTTGACCTTTCAACTTCCCGCTAAGAAAATTAAAAATTATCGATAAAAGGGAAAGCAGGCGAAAATGGACGCCTTCAATAAAAAGTGGCGTTTAAAAATTTCCTGAAGTGATTTCGTCAAATAATTTTTAAAATTTTGAGCGTTGGAAAGATAAGTTAGGCATAAAGCACTGACTTTGTTGAGGTTTGGCTAAATTTGAGAAATCGGCAAATGTCAAATTTTCGAAAAACTGTAAAAAAACTAAATTTGTACTAGAGAGCTAAAAATTGGTATATGGGTAAAAAATGAAAAAACAAATGTTTGGAAAGAAAAACGTAAAACTTGGTGACCCGTCAAAAAATTTTTTTATCTAAATCCTTGGGGCCCCTCTCCTGTGGAGGCCCTAGGGCAGTAGCCCCGCCTGCCCTCTTCTGAATCCGGTCCTGACTGTAGTAATTACATCATGAGAAGAGAATCAACATTTACGAACAAATCATGTACGATTTTTAGAAGTTAGGAAAACATAATTTTCACCAAATAAGCAGACTTTCTCGTCTTTCTCTATTTGGAAATCTGAGGTTTCACTTTCATTAGAAACAATTGATAATTTGTTCTCCTGATCTCTAATCCGTCACGTTTTTTTATTATGAAATATAATAATAATTTGTTTTCTAAATTGGAAATCCAATCGAGTTAATATATTTCTAATATCATGTAAAAAATGAACCAATGTTCCTGTTTGATTTATATTATGTTGTCATGGATGAGTAGAACATAAAAGTCTACAATAATGTCAGCCCAAAATAGACACTCATTTTTAGCAATCTGGTCAAGTCTCAAAATTGTAGGTATATCTCTTGAAGGATCAATCCAATCTTGCAAAATATATTCAAACGTACACTTTGTAGGTGAAGTCAAATTATCTTCAGCAACCTGGCCAAGTCTCAAGAATGAAGTACCAATCCAAAAAGAAAATCTACAACAAATGATCCAAAATTGAAACTCTTTATTAACGAAAATGGCTTCATAGAAATAAATCACATGAAATATAATTCTTGCAGAAACAAATCTCAGGAAAGCAAGTACTGTATAAAAGTAATTCAGAAGTATTAGCAAAATCAGTAATGATCTCAAAATTCTTTATTCAAATACCCGATCGATGAGAAATATAATGGATGAAATAGAAATTATCAATAACGTAGTTGAAACAAAAGTGATAATAATCTCCAAAACATGGATGAATTAGGTAGGTAAAGTGAGTGGGTCTATTCAACCCTCCACCGCAACCCGCAAGGGTTTGTTGTGGCTCACACCTATTCACACTCGGCCAAATAAACACAGCTTCTTAACGAAGACGATTAGTTTGTATGGTGAGTGGTCTTTCAGGTCAGATGGTGAGAGTACGGATCTGTCGAACTCAAAGAACCTGATTCGGTCCCCAGCGGGGCAGGCACAAAGTATATGCTCTGCTGTTTCATCATTTTCCAGACAGAGGCGACACACACTGTCTTCCGACAGTCCAAGTCTCTGCATGTGATGATTCAAATGACAGTGACCTGTAAGAAGGTCTGTTAGACATCGTAGTTGATCCCTACTGTAGTCCAACAACTGTTTGGAATCAAGCTTCGAAGGGTGAATAAACGCCTTCCAGCCAATCCTGGAAGATTCTGCCAGAAGTTCATAACTCTTTTGCCATCCAGGTGTTAAGTGTTTGTTTGGCAAAGCCCAAAGCGATGCCAATGACAGGTTCTGGTACAATGAACTCGCTTACAGCACCCTCCTTTGCAAGAGAGTTAGCAGCTTCATTGCCTTCCTGGCCAGTATGGCCAGGAATCCAGAACAGAGACAATCTGTTTAGTCTTCCTATCGAGGAGAGTCTTTTTTGGCAGTTTGCTACCAATTTAGACGTTGCTCGGTAGGAGCCAAGAGCTTCCAACGTCGCTTGACTTGTGAGTGAGGTTGGATTTATCCAATATCTCCGCATACAAATCAATAGCGTAAATTTCCTCTTGAAATGCAGTCACATAAGTTCCTAGGCAGGTAGATAACTCTGTCCTGGGTCTGCGACTGAAAACACCTGCACCAGAACCGGAAGGTGTTTTTGATCCATCTATGAACCAACAACTATCTGCTCTTAATATTTCCTTCTCCTGGAGGATCCCGTCCTCTCTACTCGGGAATAGTACTTTATATGGCAGATCGTAGTTGACAGTTGGAGGCATAAAATCAGAGGTCATTTTCAGAATGCTGTGACTTCCAATGTCAACCAACAGTCTGTTGCACTCTGCATTGAATTGATTTGTGCAATTAGCAATGTGCAGAAGTCTGTATGCAGTCCATCTAGCCTCTCTTTCCAGAAAAATGTGGAGAGGTGGTAGATCTGGAAGGATATCCTTGGCCGCTGACAGTGTGGTACTGATGGCACCACTAATAGCCAGACAAGCCTGTCTCTGTAAGCCAGAGGGCTTCGCTTGGGCCGTTTTCTGTAAAGCCTTCGGCCACCAAGCAATTGCACCATAAGTGGTCATTGGTCTGACAATCATCACATAAATCCAATGGATTTGTTTGCGACCTAAACCCCAAGTTTTACCACAAATCCTCCACCATGTCCATAGAGATAGAGATAGATAGAGAACCCCAAATTTTCAAAATATAAACAATACAAAACTTGAGTTTTTGGAATCTAAATATTACCATTCTGAAGAATAACACTCCGAGACTAACTTTTTCAGTGTTTTATGCAATTCGAACACTTTCAAAATTTGCAATGAATAAATACCTACCAGAGAATGTCAAAACAAAATTTCGTTAATAGACCATGTTTTGACTAATTCAAATACGGATCATAAGTTGAGTGACCATACACTAATAATAACTGATTTAAATGTAAAACAATACTTCAAGAAAAAAAACAGATTTTGAAAATAATGTTATTTTCAACGGAGTTGAAATTGAAGAAAATCTAAATTTTCTCCATGATAACTGTGATAGAATTCAATTTTTTATCTACCATAGTATGTAAACAATACAAATTATGAAATTTAAGAAACAACAACAAAAATTAATTGTGCTCCGTTTGTACTTAGTTATGTGATAGTTAATTTTTCAATTATTGTTTTTTTGCTCCATGCTATAAACATTGCATGTTTCTTGGGAAAATAAATCATCAATATATTTTTGGTGTGAAGCAAAGACACAAACTTATTATAAATGTCTCATGAAACAGCCAAAATCAAAAAAAATTCTGATGCTAAAAACTGAAACTAGGTTCATACAAGTTAAAATAATGTCGATGTTATTACCGCAGACAAGAAAACAATGGACTTACATGATTTCGAATAGTGTAGTGGAATTATTACGTAAATATCAGGGTCTTCGGGTTGTTAATAATGTCAATATACATATTATTTATGAAATAAAATGATGAAATTGGGTTATTTAATAGGTATTTTAGTGATTTCATGAATAATTTCGTGTTGAAAAAAGTACAAATAATTTGTTATAACTCAGGAGGATATACTCCTGCCGAAGTTACACTTATAGAAACAATTCAAGTTTTGAAACATTTAAATAACCCTAATTCGACGATTACAAGTTTGTAATAAATCGCTAAGTAAATATGAAACTTATTTATTGAAGGACAATGGGGAATGTTCCTCAATTTGGGTTATTACAGCAAATGCAAGTTTGAACAAAATAAACTTGAGTTTAATTCATGAGTTTTTCAAATTCACTTCAAAAAATATTCAAATTGATGTTTCAAATGTTGGGTTTTAATTTTCAAAGGGATTTGTTTCTAATTCACATATTGGCAACAGCGCCTATATCAAGTTTATACTCATCTAGATACTCATCTAGATATTCTACTTTAAAAAAGGAAAATTATCTTTATAAATCAACAATTAAGGCAAAATATAAATTATAGTTCAATACCACCTCCACAAACCACATAAACAACAGTTGTTTTGTTATTTATTTATATAGAGGAAGATAGGTTAGGTATACAAAATGTCATATGTCAAAGAATATCTCGGAACTCGGAAGTAAACAGAACAGCACGCCTCTGAAATATGTCATCTTTGTTTCATACAGGTAACAGATTCATTGTCCTTTATTAGCTATAACGGATGTTGTCAAATGGTGAAATAGAAAAGAATCCCTTTAAATGTTGAATGCATTATTTCATTCCTCTTTTTTAAGTACCTATTTGAATGATTTTTTAAAGAAAAAGGTTGAAATGATAAGTTTAAAATGCGTTGTTTTAGAGCTCTTTTATGAAAACTACTTGATTTTCGTCAGGAGGAATATTCCCCATTGATGCGTAGAGACTTCCCTACTACCCTACTACTTTTCTGTTACTTTCAGTTTCTGTTGTTATCATCTACGACTAATACTATGGTGAAGGTGCATTATTGTTTTAATGGGTTTCGTAAGGAGGACAGAGCCGCTTTTGCCTTTTGTTACGATACTTAATATTAAAAACCGTGAATATGATAATGATATGGTTCTCAATTTTTATTTTCATATATGTTAACACAACCATAGAAATAATCCGAAATTCATATATTTTTCAGCTCTTACATTAATGACGGTAGAAGAAAACAACAACTCAGTCGTCGTCCCGAAAACTGACAGTTCCAAACCGAATAATCTAGAGAACATTCACCAAAAAGATCTGACTGAACTTCCTGAAATACCAAAAAGGAGAATCAAATCTCAGTTCAAAAGAGCAATACGGTACTTCCAGAAATTGGAGGAAAAATCTCTAGGCAAAACCAAACCAAAAAATCCGAGGAAAGCCAAACATTTCACCTTGGATATCACAAAAAAGCATAAAAATAAAATTAGAGGAGGCAGCTTGAAACTATCCAATATTTCGGATAGATTTTCAGTCTATAATTTATACGAGGATGTTGTAGGAAATAAAAAGGGTAGCTTCAAGGGTACCCCTAACAGGTCTGCTCTTGTGGAGGCTTTGGCGACATTTTCCAGAAAGGAGAATTCGTTACAAGATTGTAATGAAAGTGAGGATGATATAAATTACGAAATCTTCAAAAATTCAATGAAGCAAAAAAAGAGAAGGAGTTTAAAATCTATTTTTGATGTGAATTATTGAAATTTAACTTATTTATTGTAGTTTTACATGTTTGTTATGTTATTGCATTCATTACTGTTATATAGTATATACTGTTATATATGTTCTTTCACTATGTGGTTATTAAAACAATTTAGAAATTTTAAAAAGTGATTTCTCAAAATTTTTCATCCAACATTAAGAGCACAATTTTTAAAATCACTCACCGTTTCGCTAACAAGGTTAGCATTTTCAGGAGGAGCAAATTGATACTGAATCTAAAGACAAGGGTTAGCTGTTTATATACCTGTAGTTTTTTGGTCCGATGTGGACTTTGTTTATTAAATATCATCCCAATTGAGTTTTCGGTAATTAACTAGTGGAACCACTACCTGCAGATAAATTTGTCCGCTTTTTAATCTATTGTTGACAAATTAATTTGCAGGTAGTGGTTCCACTAGTCAATTACCGAAAAATCAATTAGGATGATCATCATTTAACAAACAAAGTCCACATCGGACCAAAAAACTTTAGGTATATAAACAACTAACCCTTGTCTTTAGATTCAGTATCAATTTGCTTCTCCTGAAGATGCTAACCTTGTTAGCGAAACGCGCGTCGAGTGCAAAAATATCAGTTTGGTGTTAGGGTAATTGATCTCTAGAAAAAGTTTTCAA